ATAATTCATAATACCTGTTACAGAATCCATCACATCTATCCAGCTGCACTCCTCCTGAACGGACGTGGGCGAGGCAGTAAGTTTGGATCGGCAGTAGTGAAGTGTTTTCCGTCCATAGAAGCTGTCGTCTATCTCTATAACTTGACCAGAACCACACTGCAATGTTGCATTTTGGCCAGCACATGCAATAGATCTCCCAGAATCTAAAGGGGGAAAAATGATATAATTCTACAAATAGAGCAAACACAACATAAGTTTAATGGTATACGTCGATTTATTTAGGAGTGCATACCAAACTGGCAAATGAAGTTGAGTTCCTGGCTACAGTTCCCTGTGGCTTCCCACTGGAAGCCTGAATGTCTCATGATATGTCCGCAGGCATCTTGTGCATCTGGCATGTTCATCCAGTTACTATAGCTGACATCTGAGCCATCCAGCCATGCAAGGGAACCTGGGAAAGGACCAAATTACACCATTTATCTTTTATCTTGAATTCTGTTACTTGAGCAAAATGCTGCAGAAGACATTGTCACTGCAGATGTTAAGACAAGGTAATTATTCATATCTTTTCTCTCCGGTAGGTTAATTGTTAAGATGCAATTTAGGGACCATAAAACAAAGCAATAGATTGAGCTGGCTCTGTAAAGGGGAAAAAAGACACATTTGTAAATCAGGCCACTTGACAGCAGGCCTATTGAAATGTTCAGATGAATGACAATTATCTCTAATTACACCTGCTGCTTGAGGGAGATATCCAAATGTCCCAGTCTTCTAACAAATGTCAGTAAACAAACACATTAAAGAGCTATACAATGGAAATGCAAGCTGCCTGATGAGATAGCAGCTCAGGCGATAATCTTCATTTCGGACACGTTTCTCTCCGTTATTAGATAATCATTGATCACAGATGTGTCAAAAAAGTTCTTAGTTACCGAAAAAGTTTTAGAGAATTTGAAAGGCTTTTATGAATAATATTTAGCACTTTTATGCCAGCTGGCCTATATCATAGCACTCAAATACATGTAAATTCACAAAAAATCTATATAAAGCCATTAAAAGTCATGCTGTGTCAATTCCCCTGTCCACACGCCTCTCTCACCCTCAGTGGCAGCAGAGTCGAGCGTGAGGTTTGGAGCTGCGGGTGCCAGTCCGAGCCACCAGTCCTTCCCCGGCTCCAGGTGCTTCTGAAGGAACTGCTGTGTTTCATCATTCAGGATGAAGGCCAGGTGTCCTCCGCCTCGCTCACACCATTCTTGGGAACTGAGGAAGGATCGCTGCAGACCCACAAACTCGTAGCAAGAGTCATCAAACCCCTCCTGGTGTTCTGGGCAGGAGAGAGCCTCTGTATCTTCCTCAGCATAACAAGCCCAGCTGAGGAAAAGAACCATGAAAGCCAGTGTGGACAACATGGTGCTTTCCATGCCTGCACCTGTACACTGGTGAGACTCTCTGGTAACATCACGTCTTTAAAGGGCACTGACGTCAGTGGCTCTGACACTCAGCTCTTTAGGATTATTTTTGACATTCGGATGGCTTCCTTGATTGCTGTCCAGCTTTGTGTTGTGGCCATAATTCTTGTGCACAAACAAAGCTCAGGCCTGTAGTGAAAAGGAACTAGAGCCCACTGTCAACAGCCGCTAATTGCTCCTCTGCCTCCTGTTGTCGGGGTCCACAACCTGCAGAGTGAGATAAGCTTCTCATTCAGACTTGTTCCTACTGTGAAAATGTCAATCCTAACTTTAAAAGGAGCCAGAGGCCTTGACTGTCCAATGGGCCTGTTGTTGTTCAGACTGATATGGTTGAAATAAAAAAACATTAAAGCTAAAAGATGGAAGCCTTTACCTTTACATGGAGTTAACTCCCTAACTAAACATTTGTTAAAATGTTACAAGCACAAGTGTTACTAATAACATAACTGCATTTCATTTGTGTATGCCATCTTAAGACCATAGGCCTTTTTTCCTTACAAATAAACTATTGCTGACTTCCATTGAGGTGCTTTGATTTCAGGGTCCTGGTACTGTGCATGTTGGGTCACTGTCACATGGTTGTGTAGGACATTTTAATAGAACAGCACTATTGTTACTGTCAGTAATCAGTAAAACTTGCTGTGTGAAGTCAAAATTGACCTCTTTCACAGCAGCCATGTTGACATGAAATGGTAGGGTAAACACAGCAGGCGTTACCAATGATACTAATTAAGGTTCTGTTCCCTTCAGGTCAAACAGAGTGTGGGTGCTGCTATTGGTCATGTTGGCTCACTGGAAAAGCTCTGCAACACTAAATGGAGCTGGACTTTAATTATCTTAGACCTAATTATAATAATGATTAGTTATCATTGGTAACACCTGTTTACACTACTATTTCATGCAAAATGGCTACTGCAAAAAAATTAACCTTTTTTTAGGAAACATCGTAAATTAAAGATATTTAATTCGAAATATATATATAATTAAATAAAATAAACCACTAAAATTAAACCATAAGCAAAGTTAATATCTTATAAAGGTCTGCAAGCATTTTAATTTTACCTCAAAATCAATCACACTCATACCCAGTGTTGGGCAAGTTACTCAAAAAATATACTACTCATTACTCTTTTAAATTGTAATATAATTACTTTACTTATTACTCCCTGCCAAAAATACTTAGTTACACTACTAGTTAATTTACTTTTCTGCCACTTCCCACAAAACTGGTAATTGTGTCCCTTCTCCCCAAATTTACTTACGAAACAAGACGAGACAAAGTAATGGAATATTTCAGTGTTTCCATCTTTAAAACTAGTTTCCTCCACGATTACAAAAAATGAATGTTATTGGATTGTTGGAGGGTGACAACAGAAATAATATCGTAAGAGTAACTGTAATGTTATTACTGACTTTTATTAGTAATTAGTTACACTAGTAATTACTGGGACACGTAATATTATTACCAGTAATGACCTATTGCCCAACACTGCTCATTCCTCCATCTTCTACACTTTGAACTACTTTTGAAAAAGACGACCCGTACAATACCCGGATGTTTGACGTCGTATTAGTGAGACGAAGCTCTCTGAGGACATGACTTTTTGAGCTAAACCAGCGAGGACTCAATAAACGTCCCACAGATAAACAAACGCCACATTTTCACGCAACATGTGGGCTTGTAACAGGAGCCTGAGCAGCACAATGACCTCCGTCCTCCGGGCTCTCCGCAGCACTCCAGTAAATACACTTTATGGGTCTGCTAACAGCGGCTTGCTAACCCTTGACGCAGCTCACCCTCCTCGTTTGTGCCTCCGCAGGTTGTTGTTGTTGGTCCGGGACATGTGCGGAGGGGTCTGTCCACACAGACGGACGGAGAGCTCCGCATCGCCGAGATACTGAAGGAGAAGTTTCCGTCAGCCTCGTCGCTCAAAGTTGTGGATATATCGGGTAAATACAGAGTTATTTAGCATTGGTTTGGATGCCGAAAAAAAAGGGTTCTCCTTAGATGTTGACATGATGTTAACACTGCATGAAATGTTCACCCCTAACACTGTTCCTGCCTGCACCATTTCATTAAATTGATATTTCCAGATGTTCAATGCATCCACAGTTTAGACAGAATAATTATTATTTAGATCTGTTGTTGGGAACCAGGTGGTCGAAACAAACATTTGGGAAGTGACAGTGTTGTTTGTGTTGTCCTCTGTTGTGTTCAGGTGGTTGTGGGGCCATGTACGAGATCCATATAGAGTCCAGTGAGTTCAAAGGAAAAAGGACAATCCAGCAACACCAATTAGTCAATCAGGTAAATCACCATAGCAATCTGCCCGGCACCTTACCTGTGGCAGTGTAAAATAATGAGTAGTGCTAATCTTACAGTTTTTTATTCTTTGTACTGAAATGTACTTGAGCTTGTGTGCTGTGGTCAATATCTGTCTGTCAACCATGCTTGTGTAATTTTACATTAGGGATGTATGATATGGATTTTTTCCCCAGCCTATACGATAACCTCTTTCTCATGGCCGATACCGATAAGACAACCAATAATTGCACATTTCTCTATTTTGAAAATAAGTTCATAACATAAAGTTTGTGCCCACCTGATGGTAAGAAAGGCTAAGATGTAGTGAGCAAAGATGGATGATTTAATATTCCACAGCTCTGTTTTAACCAAATCTAACTTACTATTGTTAACACAAAAAAACAAACAACAGATCTGACTCTTTCTCAAATTTTCATTTATTAGTTCACCAAAAACATAACAAAAATACAGTGGTTTTCATAGAACATAAAGCCCATCAAATGTTATGCATAAGAATACAAAATAAATGTGTATTACTATCGTTAATGACTGATTATCCCCTTAACTTTATGTTTGTGGTTGTTGAAGCTGAATTTTACTCATTCACGTTGTGTTTTGTCCTCTGCAGGCACTCAAGGAGGAGATTCAAGGAATGCATGGACTGCGAATATTTACTGATGTTCCAAAACAATAGAGAAAGTCCGTCCACGATTGAATGTACAGTTTTAAAGTGGATATTGTGTATTTAAGGAAATTCCATGATAATTGTTAAGGTGCCAGTGGCAGCGGGACATGTTGTCAGTTCACATTAACAGTGTGAAATGTGTAAGAAATGTAAGATTACACTAAGTTATCTTTTCTTTTTTTTTAAGTAGTGAAATATCTGCTACTCTGTATAAAACTGGTGAAGGCTACAATACGCACAAAATGACTTGGTAAAATGCTAGTAAAATGTCAAGTCATGTAGATTTCTTCCCAATTTGGGGTCTTCTCAGGGTTGATAATGATGCTGGTGTAGTGATAAGCGTTTGAAGAAGTAATAAATACAACCATCCTGAATAGCGGAGGATTGCTACAGACCCAAAATCAGTTTGTGGAGCATTATTTTGCAGTGCCACTAACACAATGATTTTAAATTGAATACTAACCTCTGAATTGCACATAGACCTTGTATTCGTACTATCTATGCATTGATAATGCAAGTTGCAATAGAAAGCAGCTGCATTCCCCCACACACTTCTTACTTGATTGACTATTGAGGATTTGTGATAAAAAAACAATTTCAACCATTTTAAGAAAACAGACATAGCAATACTAGAAATGAAAGCCATGGAATGCTCTGCCTCACTTTTATTTGTTATTCATTTATTTATACAAACCATATTAAATATTAATACTGTAAATATAAATGTGCTGCTATCGGAGGTTGTTGGAGAGCAGGGACAATTTAACAGTCTTTCAGGAAAAAAATGGAAGCCAACATAAACTAAGAGCCTCAACAATAGTTATTTTCCCCATCTCCTCTTAAAACAATGGTACAAACAGTTGGCTGTAATAAAGCTGTTGACCACAGACAAAGCCTTACATAATGATATGCTGATTATACTAGCCAACCTATCTTATTAGTGCATATGTTGGCTGATAAACAACAAGAAAATGTGGCATGTAAATGCCAAAGAGATGAACTAATACAAAAACTCACCATACTTTGTACAACAGACAACTGACAAATTTATTTCAATTATTTCATAATGTATCAGACTAAACAGCAATGTCCCAAATTGGTATTCTTTTTTTCTTTCTACATAAAAAATATAGCTTAATAACTTTGTTTCAGTCACTCACATCACTTTGTTGAATTACTCTGGTCACCATAGAAGTTCTGCTAGTTGTTTCCTGCACTTATATCTCAATATAGAAAGAAATCACCCATATAATAACATTATAGAATAATTAATAATTACCCAATTGCACAACACTAGTTGAAGGAATTTAGTTGCATTGTGGATGCACAGTATGAGTCCCATTATCAGACTTTTAACATAGATAAAGTTTTGTGCACACTTCACCAGCAGATGGTGCACTTTATACTTTAACCCGCTGCAAGCAGAGCCAATAAACAGGGTCGAATTCTATTCTTGAAATGGCAAACTGCATTTTAATTAACTTGTACCTCTGTGACCTGAACGGAAATAAAACATCATTGAGGACTTGAATTCCGGCTGATTGAATAAGAGTGCAGGCGGTGCAGGTTTCAGGCTCCACTGTGGATCAGCGTCCATCCATCCAGCGGCTGCCTGTCTGTGCGCAGGCTGCACACCACATCACTCTGAGCCCCGAGGAGGAGCGGAGAGGCAGAGCAGCAGGTCTCCGACATGGCTAAAGAAGGAGCAGATATGACGGAGGAAACCGTGTACATGATAGACAAAAACGTGGGGAAAGAAGCAGAAAACGTGGAATCGTCCGGCGATCCCAAAGAAATGCGAGCGGTGATTCTGGCAGGTTTTGGAGGTCTCAACAAACTCCGGGTAACCAAGAAGGCAATGCCCGAGCTTCAGGATGGGGAGGTGAAGATCCGCGTCAAAGCATGGTAAATATGACAATACCAGGAACCCCTTTGTTTTTGTTTTTGTTTTTTTAAATCTACTTATGAATTGTGATGTGCTCTGTCCTCCCTGTTCCCACTGTACATTGTATTTCAGTCGTGAAGCCACAGGTTGAAAGGCTGGAGCTCATTCATGCCAAGCAAAATGAAGAGAAAACAAGCATTTCTCAGGCATTTTTCAAATCTGAATTTCTATTTGATAATAGCTACATCCCCAAGGTATTGATTAGCTCCTTATTGCAGAAGATTACAGCTGAGCCAATTCCAAATATTGGCAAACTCAGAGTTAAGGAAATATTGTTTAATAGAGAATACCTGTTGAATTTGGCCTTGCTTGCATTTATAGAAATAGCTACTGACTCACTGCTGATAATGAAATAAGTAGCACAAGGCAATCCCCAAGTCTTGTATAATAGCTCATACTAAATATTTTTATTTTTGATTTAATAGCTGTCAGTGCTGATTTATATTCTAATATTCAATCAGAGGGATTTAATGTCCACAAACAGACAGGTCTTACTTGTTCTTCATTGCAGCGGCTTGAATTTTCTGGATCTGATGGTGCGTCAGGGGACCGTTGATAATCCTCCCAAACCCCCTCTTGTCCCTGGGTTTGAATGCTCTGGAATAGTGGAGTCAGTAAGTGAAAACACAACAGGATTTGAGGTTAGTGAAATAATTATATTATTATAACTCTGTGATGACTGAATGAACGCTGTTGATGTTGTTGTTCTAAGCAACAAAATCTGCATCAGCAAAACGAGAGACAAGCGCTGTAAGCCTAATAATGAGATGTCCATTACAAATAAAACCATGATCTACACATGCTTGTTTCACGAGTGTCTACTTGTTATCCAGCTACTCTAACATGCTTCTTTCAGATAGGCGACAGAGTTATGGCTTTTGTGAATTACAATGCCTGGGCTGAGGTTGTTTGCACGCCAGTGGATTTTGTCTACAAGATGCCAGATGAAATGAGTTTTGCAGAGGCCGCTGCCTTCTCCCTGAACTTTGTGGCTGCCTATATGATGCTGTTTGAGGTTGCCAATCTGCGAGACGGGATGTCAGTGTTGGTTCACTCAGCAGGAGGTGGTGTAGTAAGTCTAAATTTTCTGTGAATTTGCACAACCACGAAATGAGTTCCACCATTTTATCCAACTCTCATTATAACCAATTACTTTTTGTATCTCACCGTGCAAAATGAAAATTACTTCTCACTAAAACTTGTCTAACATCCGTTTGAGAAATTTAAGTATAAACAGGAATTTAATATAATTAAAATTAATACAGTGTAGATATTCTACACCACTGTATCTCGTTTTCTATGAATGGTGCATACTGTTTGTGTGGTATATATAGAGTTAACCCCAGTGTTCTCAGGCACTGATAAATTGTTGCAACTGTTTGTTATTTTCAGGGTCAGGCTGTGGCTCAGCTGTGCTCCACTGTACCTAATGTCACCGTGTTTGGGATCGCCTCATGTTTCAAACACGCAGCCATCAGAGACTCGGTGACTCACCTCTTTGACAGAAACGTTGATTATATGCAAGAAGTCAAAAAGTAAGCATAGACTTGTGTGTTGTTGTAATGTTGTATTTTCGCAACATGAATTTTCTAATGTTAAAAAAACACATAGAAAGGCATCATCAGGCAGGTTCGCTGTAGCATGTCATACATGTGAACTAATGTGATAACGTGGAGCTTAGAGGGCTGTGGGAGGATGCAGATGTTACCTGTTGCCTTATTTGGTCTTGTGTGGCCATGGTTCCCATGGCAACACACAGCTCATCTCAGAGAGCAGCAGCATTGTGTAGGGCGGAGGTCTGCGCTGGCAATGTGGAACAACTGAGCCAATTAGAGCTGAGCATTGATACCCTACACATGCCATTCACAACACAGCACTCTGGTAGCCAGTTTGCACTACAAAGAAAACACCTCGTAGCAAACACTGGCTGAGATTTGAAGCAATATGACACATATTTACTGTGATTGTGCTGTGAAGTTATAATTTTGAAGATGTTGTGAAGCTCATGAGCATTCTGCCTCCTCTGCTTCTGAGAGATTTAGCAGGGATTTGTGGCTATACTACAGAGTCAGCCAGAACACTTGCAGCATACATTTATAAAACACGCTGTATATTATTCTGCTTATACTTACAGATTCAAAAAATAGTTTTCATGAGCGCTGATTGTTCATGCTTTCTGCCTACATATTAACAGTGGTAGTGGATTATTGTGCCTTTCATCTCTCTTGCCCACACATTCTTCTCAGGATCAAGAGCAAAGTACAATTAAATTACTCTTTTTAGAAAAGGCAAAAACCATGGGAATCACAAGACCACCGGGTGGTTTAGCCAAGCAGGTGTCCAGAGCCACAAGGCAGAAAGAAAGGAATTATGGTCGCCTTGATAACAACATGCTTTTCATTCTTTCATATCTGTGCCCTTAATGAGCCAAACTTTTGTTTTTGACTGATTCTGTGTGCGATAAGAACATTAAACCTTTTGTAACATGATATAAAGTTATAATGTTACTGATGGTAAAGTGGGCATTGCAAAACATCAATAAGTTCTTCATAAGAAAACTGTAGGCAGAGTCAAAAGAAAAAACATGTGGGTTGGATACTGCAACTTTTTCTCAGAGTAATACTCCAGAGAATCAGTGCTCATGTCTTACGAATCTATGATTAGACAAAACCTGAAGCGGCTCCAGAGTATGAATCATAGACTGAATATATGGTCTCATATATATTAACAGACATATCACTGTAAATGTATGAAGTTGGCCTCCAATTGAACTTTATATCAATGAAGAATGTCTGTGGATGAATTCTTCACATGTTCAGTAGAGCTCAAATTGTCCATTAACTGATTAGTAGATAGACAGAAAATAAATCTGCAGCTATTTTAGAGCTGCTATTAATTTTCATTATTGATTAATCTGCTGATTTTTTTCACAATTAATCTAAAGTTTCTCCAGTGTGGAAGCCTTGTGCTTTTCTCTGTTTTATATCATTGCAAACTGAATATGTTAAGGTTTTAGACTGTTTAGACATGTTTGATGTTTTGGGCTCTGGGAAACTGTAACTGGGGGCATGTATACCTTTGATAGACTAAATGATTAATTGCAAGTTAATCAAAAATAATTATTTCTGATGTTCTTGCAGCTCCATACTCATGCATGTATAGTATACAAATCCATTTTTCAGTGGACCTTTATTTTCTTCTTTATTTTTTTAGGATTTCTCCAGAGGGAGTAGACATTGTGTTGGACTGTCTGTCTGGGGAGAACACAAGCAAAGGCTTAACACTGCTGAAGCCTTTGGGAACTTACATCCTCTATGGTGGGAACAATACTTATTCTTTTGCTTGTTCTTTTGCCTTTCCATTGAGTCATTTCAAAGTGGAAATCACTTCATACATGGTCACATTTTAGTCAAGGCTTCAATTGCTGAAATTAGCTCAAGCAGTTGAAGGCATAGGTCAGCATTTTTGGAAATATGTTTCTATGCTTTCTTGCTGAGAGTTAAATTGGAAAATCAATACCAATCTCATATCTTTCCATTAAGTATGAAGCTTGAGCCAAGACACAGATATCATAGCTCAGCAGCCAGCCTGGTGACAATAAGACTTTGGGAAGTCACTGCTCCAGTCCAAGAAATACTCTGGCACATAATCCTGTGTAAATCAGTGAATTAACATTTTTATGTTTTGGTTTTTGTGCGGATTAAACAAACAAGATATATTGTGTTCATTTGTGAGCTTTAGCGGTGCTGGTAGGTGGAATCTGTTACCTTTGAACAGAGCTAGTCTTTATGCTAAGCTATCCATCTCTTGGCTGGAGCTTCATTTTTAACAAACAGACGGTGACAGTGGTATCAATCTTCTCATCTTACTCTTGGCAAGAAAGTGAGCATTTCCCATAATGCCAAACTATTCCTTTACACACGAGTCTTGCATTCATTCAGTGTGTTGGCAGCTCGACTGGATGTCAGGCTTACTTGAATAAAGAATACTCCATAGCCTGAAAATGAATTTATGAATGAATGAATATAAAATGGATTGTCCTTCACAGCTACCAATCTTATCTGATCTGTGTTAATTAATTTAGTTACTGTCAAGCCTCATGAATCAAGTAATAGCATTAGAGGAGATATATTCATTAGTTTTAGTTAAACTGAATATGTGCGACAGCATGCTTGCACAGATCTAAGGGTCTAAAGGTGCTAGCCATTCCTCCCCCATCTCCCCCTTCATGCTCCATGGCTGCCTATTATTGACCAGTCAGTTCTGTCCAGGCTTCTTTTCCACAGCATACAGCAATCCTTTTTGTTTTGTTTTTTCAGGCGCGTCAAACATGGTAACTGGGGAAACAAAGAGTTTCTTCAGCTTTGCAAAATCTGTGAGTCAGAGATGCAGCCTGTCATCCACATTTGAAGCAAACACTACTCTGTTACTATCCAATGAACATTTCATGGCAAATGAAACACACACACACACACACACACAAATGAGTCACTCGGGTTGATCGTGTCTCTCTGTGTTTTTTTTCTTTCTCCAGTGGTGGCAAGTGGAGAAGGTGAACCCTATTAAACTATACGAGGAGAACAAAGTTATAGCAGGCTTCTCGCTCCTCAACCTCCTCTTCAAGCATGGGAAATGTAGTCTTGTGAAATCAGTGATGGACAAACTCTTGTGTCTCTATGACCAAAAGAAAATCAAGCCAGTAGTGGACTCTCTATGGGCGCTGGAAGAGGTAAGAGGCCGGGGAGATCGGAAGGGTGTAAGATGGTGAGATCAATGATTATCCAATTACAAATGAACTGATCATAGTGGTAACATAAGAAGATAGAAGACTTTATGCAAACATCTTGGACAGCATTGAAGCTGTTGTTTGTCACGGCTGCTTTCTGTGGGACATTGTCAGCTGTTCTTGGACAATCTTCCACAGATGGTGGGTAGGTTGCATGTTCCTGTTCAACGATTATCATCACAACCCACACAAACTCTATACATCAGTCACGTCACTAGTAGTGCAATGTGTACTTGCTTATGTCTTGAGCCTGGCCAGGACACAGCTGATGTATCCGTTGCATTGTGTGCTGGCCTTAAGTCATGGGATATCTCATGACAGACATGACATGACATTTACCAGGTATCTGTGTTCAGGTGGACATCACTTACTGGTAAATGAAGGCCCAGAACTGCCCTGTTTGCCTTCATGAGATGACAGTGGACATTCACTACTAGTTGTTGTCTGTGTGAGAGAGTGTCTCATTAGCTGTGGTATCTCTGGAACCAAAACTAATGAGACAGTCAGGGCTAGACTGGCTCAGACAGCTAGATAAGTAGGGGAAGATGTTACCATTGAAAGTTCACCAATTAACTTCTTGACTCCCTTTTCTCTCTCTACATGCAGAGCCAACTATAGACAGGGCACCAGAAAAGGGTAGAAACATTTAAACCTGTACCACTTCTCTTGGACATTACCCCTTCGGTCAGATGGTAGATACAGAAAAACATGAATAGATTGAGTTTCTATTTTAACAGCTCTACACACCTATGGTCCACCTACACATGGTTTCCATTTGTTTGCCTGGTCAGACAATTTCTGACTGACAACTGAGCTAGAGCTGTCAACTTTTATTTAATTTTCAATGTTCAAACGAATTTGCATTATCATGTAATTTGTCCATATTAATGCCGGCTGCAACCCAAATGGCTTTGACTGTCACATACCATAAACGTGTGGCCAGCAATGTCTGTCCCTTGTGGTCAGACGGTGTTTCTTACCCCTGAGTATAGTCTTCATATTTATCCTTGTGGTGTCATATAACTGCTGTAAAAATGGTCTATTATGATGTAAGTATGTCCATCTGCGACCTAAGCAGAAGTGTAATTAGGTGGAATAAGTGAAAACACTGTGTGGGTGTGCACGGTCTTTTAAACTGGCCACTTTGGCACCCAACAACAAAGATGTAGTCACTGTACATTAAATAACTAATTTACTTGTTAATAACAGACATTTTGACTGTCATAGCAGAGCAAACCTAAGTAGAATGCAATGTTATCAATTGCAACTGTGCTTTATACTTTATTATAAGAAAGTCTGTGACTGAGACTTTGCTAAGGTCCATTGAAGACTTATCCTTTGTAGCAGGCACTACTTGTCCATAACTTTTATGAGCCACAACTGTGGAGTCAAAAGAGTAAAAGCCACTGTCAGTTGTAATTAGGTTATATCTCCATTTCCAGTAGCTACATATAACTAATCATTACAACTTATGTTTCAGCCATTTCCTCAGCATAAAATTTAACCTGAGATTGATTTGCCTAATTGTTCCCATCAGTGATATCACATAACATCTGACACATCCTCTGTCTTAAAAGTAAAATGTTTGGAATTTGTTTCACTTCCAAAAATGCTCAAACGAATTCAGATAAAAGGTGAGCCAGAGCAGGTGATTCATCACAAGAAGTCGTTACAAGTCAACTTTGTCTGAGCTTTACACTACTTCTACTCTGATCTACAATCAGAGAGAGAATATGTTGAGGAAATGATTGCCGTCTTCAGATTTTTAATTTCTCATGGGAAACTCCCCGTGTATTGTTGTGATTAAACTTTGGCAGATTGGTCAGGCCATTCACTGCAACTATTGCCCGTGAAGAATCTCATTAGAGGGGAGGATGGCGTGGGATGTAGTGACACTGGCACAGCCTGCCTCGTTTGCTAATATGCTTGGAAGGAGAATTCAGAGGGCGTTGGTTTTCACGTTGAGCATGGCAACCTTTTCTCTCTGGAATGAAAAGTTGGATAATGTGCGTGACTGAAACAGAACAGGAGCTAGTCTGACCACCAGCAATTTTACTACAGAAAAGATTACTCTTTCACCTGGAGGTCCCAATGTAAATGTTATGTGTCAAAAAATAAAAGTAACACACTGTATCTCACAGTGATTGTTTGAAAGTACCCTTGAAAGACACATTACACCTACAATGCTAGTGGATCTTCCCTCTCTTCTCTTTGCTACCTAGCAGCAAAGCGCTGAACAAGTTCCTGACCTATTTTTGCTCTTGGCTTGATTTCCGCTATTTATTTTAACAAATGAATGCTTGTGACACAATGGCTTCCACACAAAGAGGCACATTCAGTTGTGTCTTTGTGTGGACAGTAATGAGAAAGCAAAACATGGCATCATGAATAATATTTTGTGATATGTGGATTTTTCTCTACACAATTGAGTCAGACAAGCTTGAATGAGTCGAACTGATCTTTTATTGTTTACAGATTTGACCTGCTAGGTATGCTGAACAAGAATCATAATAATAGCACAATTGTAGTGCTTTCAAAAAAGTATATACGGTGACAAAGAGCCACAAAAATAAAGTTCAGTACACTCGATGTTTCTCCACTGTTGACGTGCCTCCTTTGCCATTTGGGTGGTAAACTAGCAGGAATCCTCAGATCTTTTGTCTTAGAATAACAGCTGCTTTTTTAAAAAGTCAGAAAGTTAATTAGGTAATTAGGAAATGGCAGTTAAGAAGAAGAAGGGAAAAGAGGAGTACTGTGTAAGAACAATGTGTCTAGTTTGCAGAGGACTGTTTTCTTACAATCATAATTCATTTATACTCACATAAATGAAACAAAAATAAACATAAACTAAAAGAGGATATTACATATTTTCAGTACTGGGGACTTTATTATGTTGAATTTATAAATAATATTAAAATAATTTGTTTTTGCAGGATGTGGCTCCCTTTAAAACTGTATGAGAACATATATAGTTTCTTATAGGAAGCTGCAGAAACGTTTATTATTCACATAATTTGTCTTTAGAACCCACTCTACCATGCCGGTCTAAAGTTTGATAATCAAATTTTTAATGCAAAATACAGCCTATATTGTTCCTGCAAACACAGGGAAAATGAAGCAGTGTACTTGTGTGCTAAATATAAACCTTCTTTGATCATTACTACAGGCAGTGAATTATTCAGTGTGATGTCAAATGTAGCCCAGCCGGCATCATTTAGTCAAAATTAAAGCTATTAACTTTAATCACAGAGTAAGTGTAGATTATAGCTGCTCTGAGAAAGTGGTCCTGTGTCTGTGATGACCAGGAAATGGTTGCAAAAGGGTCTTTGTGTGGATTCAGTTGACAAAAGAAGTGTTTTTTTCCCTCAGGGGCTTTGAAAGGTCTTTTCAATGTTACAGCAGGCTTCCTGTTGGGGAGCTTTTATTGTTGGACGTCAGTCACCCATTGTATGAGCAAAAGTGAAAAGTTATAAGGCACCCTTGTCTCCAGTCTGTTTTTTTTTGTTACACATGTACTTCAGCTCACATCTGGTCTTACACATGATTGACACTATAAAACCATCTTGATTAGACTGAGTTAGCTGTAGCACCGATCCCTTAGAACTTTTGGTTGGTTTAAATAAACTACACTGACGAAAATAAGCTAATTAAACATCTCTTTGTATGGATAAACCCAACCACTTGTTACAGTTTCAATTGTGTTTCTTTTTTTAATTACTAGAAATAGTCATGTTATTTTTAGATGTTCTGGTGTTGTTTCTTAACAGTTCAGCTCGTTGAAAATAAATTGTTTGTTTTTTTTATTTGCAGGTGAAAGAGGCCATGCAGAGAATTCATGACAGAGGCAACATAGGAAAACTAATTCTGGATGTTGAGAAGGCTCCCACCCCTCTGGTAACAACGACACTTTTAATGTATTCTTTTCCTAGTTGATGGGAGAAAAGCATACATGAACAGACAAGGCTGTTAAGTGGCTTGGGCCACATTTCTCAACAAGGATTGACCTCAAGGTTAAGAGTTTTGTGCAATCCTACAAAGATTTACAGTTTTCACAGTGACTCATCTAACAGCACTTTGCATCTTTTGCAGATAGATGAGTGGCGCTAAGTTAACTGTTTGTATGCCAAATTATAATGTAAAAAAAGGTTTATTACTATTTATAACACTGCTTAAAATGTCACACTATGAAAGTATCATTTACAGCTTCCAGCTTTCTGTATTTGATATAGTATTATTACTAGATAAAAGTAAGACTAATAGAAAGTTAATTTAATTTGATTTGATTAATCTGAATTAGATAAACATGACAAAAACAGATACATAATTAAAGTATTATAAAACATGGTTGAGAGTAAATTATTAAGTATATCTATAGCAAAAATGCTTTTCTGAAACACTGTTGAATATTTTGTGTAAAAAGGGTTTTCTTATCTCTGTTTTTAATTAACCCCACAGCTAATTTGCTGACTGACTTGTGCCACCAGTGTGGTATTTTTTGTTGGTTGATAGTTACATTTCTGATGCCTGACATTTTCAGGTCCAGTCAGGTTCATAAAGGAGGCAGTAAGAAGGATTCCCTCCTGTTTTATAGCAGTTGTTGCCATGGCTATCTCAACATCCAACCTATGAAAATTTGTAAACATATTGAAAATATAGACCCGGTGTACAGCCGCCCATTACACATTAACTAGTCTGTACCACTTGATGTCAGCTCACACGTATGTTCACCTCTGTTCTTCTGTATGGGTAACTCAGTATAAGTTAATGATAGCTGAATAATACGTCACCACTAGATGGCCAGCGACAGCACAGAGACCAGTGAAGCTGGAGAGGAAGAAGAGGAGCCCGAGGGAGACAATGACAGCAAGGAGCGAATGCCTTTCATCCATTAAACCCTACAATTCCCACGGCAACACACCTAGAGACTGGAGAAGCTGCACAGATTCACCACAGGGGGACACACTATACACAAGTGATGTGCAGTATGTATGTGTGCATGTGTTGCATGCATGTATGCATGAATGTACCGTATGTATGTATCGAATATGTTTGTGCCTCTTGTCTGTTACCTACTGTTTGTCAGTTGATTGGTCAAGCAAAGTTTTTGGGAAAATGAAAACTGAGAACATGTTTGTCACCCAGGCAACAAGTGTAAGTGCCATTCTCAAAATAGTATTATTATATTCTTTACTGTATTATAAAGTGATGTTACGCTAGCCAATGATGTGAATAGGTTTGTGTCCATTTTACAGTTAATTGCCTCTGCCACCAGTTTAGCAACAGACTGAATAAGCTTTTAAACCTACTGACTTGCTGTTATCACTTTGAAAGCACACATAGTGTCACATGATGTCTCTCCCCAACTGTAAAATGATAAAACAACTGACAGAAAGTATTTTGATGCTTCAGACCAAGGGAGTGAATCACTTTCTCATATTACAATAATAATAATGCGTACGCCACTAGAGGTAGAGTCTGTGTGTAGGTATGTGCATGATATTTTATTCTTAGGTGCCGACCATGTAATGTTATGGGATCACCAGTGCCTTTGAGCTACAAATGAGTGTTTGATACTTGAACTGCTTTCCTCATGTGAAGTTTGTATTGAACAAACAAACAACAAAAACAGTGTTTTTAACTGGAATATTAAAAAAACGATTCTTCCTCGTCTGATCATAACATTTGCAGGAAGATGAATCTGTGGTGCCGCCGGAGCTCTGACATATTTTCCCACTAAACTGTATATTCACAGCTTTTACTGAACCACATAATAAACGACACTAGGGGTGAAATAGAACAAATTGGAGTTTCAAATTTATATCTGTGTCAGAATCTTGCAGAATATATGTAAATACAACAAACATGAGATAAATCAGTAAATTCTGGAGGGTCATGAAGTGGTCAGTCAGACTGCAGTTCAAGGTTTGTGGAGTCAATGCTTTGTATGTCTGACCAAAGTTGTTTACTTGCTGGTGCCTCACAACAAAAGTGCCATAAGACTCCAACATGAATTATTTTTTACAATGAGCTGGTTTATAAAGGCAGGGTGATTTAGGTTTGAGCAACACTGTGTATTGATTTAGTATGCAGCCATCGGCTTTACTCCACATCTGCAAGTTGTTAATGAAATGCAAGAGAAGAACATCTGTCAGGGATGTTTGCCACAGCCGCCTACTACAGACGGCTGATCAGTTTTTATTTTTAATTTATCAAGTAAGTGAAAACAAACTGTATTTTTTGTATTATTTCTTCGGCCATGCTTATTCAGTGTATTTTATATTGGCTAATCCTCTGAATTATTTATTACTTGAATTATTCAAATGAAACCAGAGTATACGTCAACAAAGTATTTTCTCAACTATAAAAACAATAGAAGTGTTATAATAATTCCATTTCAAGAAATCCAAAATGTATCAGTTGAGTAACAAGAAAAGCTAACAACTTTGAAGTTGAATGATAAACGGGGGAGAGACAGTGTTAATGGGTGTACTAAAGTGATTAGATTGAGAAACTGATTTTGGAAATAAGGATAATGATGTGTAGACACTTAGGAAATACATCTTAATTTTGATGCCTTTTATGTCCGGTCTTTGTGTGTGTGTGTGTGTGAGAGAGAGAGAGAAAGCATGTTTTATTATTTTGAGTGTGTGTGCTCATATTGCCTTGTAAAAAAAAAAAAAGAAAGAAGAAAAGTGTGTTTAAAGAAGTGTTTAACATTGTAGTGTGTTCACAAAATTCCTTATAAACTATGGTTTGCCTGTGGTCGTATATTTTCGTCACATTTTTTTGTTGTGTGCTTTCTTTGAGTACAGCTCTGTTTACTTGAATAAATTTAGTATTCAAAAGTATTCAGTGATCGATGTTTTAATTTATTTCACGAGGTTTAGAGATGTCAGAAAACATTTAGGTTTTCAGTGATGTATTATGTCGTTTCTTGTTTCCTAAAAAAGTATTATTTGGTGTGCATTATGTTTTTAAATTTTGGAATATAGTACTAGCATATGGCACATTCTGCATAATCCCTCAGTTTGGCACCAGATGGCAACAAAGTAAGCTATTTTAAACTTCTACAGGTAGTCAGTATAGTCAGAATCAATTCATATGCTTGTAGAACTGCTGCAAACTGTTTAATTTAATAGCTTTGCAGCGTCTTAATCACTAATAAATAAATAAACAAGAACTCAATTTGTGGTCCGGGATTAGTTTGGGGTTTTATGTCTTCCTCAAGACAGAAAGCGAGAAGTGTCAGCAGAGACTGCATTGGAACGGCATACCATTTTTTGCATGTTAACTAAACATAGAACTTATTCAGTGAGTGTAAAGTAAACAGATGTTACAGTACCATTTGACATCCGTTACACCTACTGTAAAAAAAATAATTATACTCTTTGATTTTTTATAGTTTGTATAACTTGGTGAACAACATGTGTTTTGAATATTTATCACACACCAGTGGGTGTTGCAAACAATAAAACCAGAGTTTGATTAGAATAAATTATATATTAGACTAATATGTCAAAGCCTACTGCCTTAAATGAAAGTTAATGCTTAGAAATCTACAATTGTAACTGTAGCTGTAAAATGGGAATGTATACTGGTTTTGAGAGTTGTATTGCTATACTGAGCCATGCAAGGGTTTTTCTTATTTAGCAACCCCCTCTCATCTTTATACAACATCTCACTCTAAAAATAACCAGAGGTGGGAGGTGGACTTCCTCAGGTCTAATAGCCGCTTTATTTTTTAAGATTACACAACTGGAAGTCTGTGTGATGGAAACATTTAAAAGATGTCTATACAGTGTAGCAGCGACATTTACTCAGTTACTTGTTTTCATGTACTGAGAGTTGTAAATTAAACTCTTATTAGTGTAGATTAATACCACTTTGTGTACATGAATCACATATTTCAGTGTTGGGTGGTATCATTTGACAGTTCCCATACGTTGGCACTATTTCATTGAGTTGACGCCAAGGTGTAACATTATTTTTCACTTGTCCAAAAGTGACTCAACATGGCCAAAACAGACGTGCAACTGGGTTTGGAATGAAGAACACTCTGTAATAGTGAAGCAGTCAATGAATTTCCAGTTTGTTTGTGAAATGAAAGGCAATACTGCTTCACGCACCTTGTCCCAAGTAAATATTTATCAAAAGCCAGACACAAGGAAGTCATTATTTGCCACTCCACCCTTATACCTCTCTCACCTTCTCCTGATGTTTGGACAAAAACAAACACAGTTGGAGCCAATGCAAGGAGAGTACCCAGAAAGGCATACAGAGGGGCCAGTATATATTAAGCTGCCTGCAGTGTTTTTGGTTCCTTTCACAGCAGTACAAGGTGTGCCACTGTGTCCTGTCCTGTAGGACCCACTGGCCTCAGACATGGCACGTCTGGGCCTCCCTGTCTTCCTCATTCTTTGCTTCTCCTTGCTCCACTTCAGCTCCAGCCGTCCATCTCGCACCAGGAAGGCCGTGTCACCTCGTCAGTCCGGAGGTAAGTATGCACATTGCACGCAGTTCATAAATAATGTGTTTGCCACTGATGTTCATCTGACTTTTCTTTTCTTTTTTTTTTTGCCTGTTCATCGAGATGCAGCTGCAGAGGAAGATGATGTGAAGTCCCAGCTTGAGAGGCTGTGGCAGGAGGTGAATTCCCTGAAAGAGATGCAGGCGTTGCAGACAGGTACTGCCCTCACTAAATAAAGGAAGGTTTAAGAGAGAGGAGATGACAGTAGATTAATGCAGTTTTCAGTATGTTTGTTTTAAAAAATACGTAAATAATAAATATATCATGGGACAGTGGCGTTATTTAGATTTTTGGCTGTCTTATAAATATATTATGGTGCCTTCTCTCACTGATACTTATGAATTGAGGCCAAGTAACAGTGTGGACATTGCTGAGAGATAATTGGTAATTCAATAACTAGACTTTGAATTTCTTAGCGTGCTGAGTCACCAGCAGAGGGCAGCAATAATCATAGCATCCATTAACTTGCAAAGTAAAATGTTGACTTGGAGAAGAGTAATGTAAAAAACTTACATTTTATAGGGAATGTAAAAACATTTAAATCTTTTCTTTTTTAATTTTGAGCTTAGACTTTATTATATAAAAAATACTATCCTATATACTAACTGTATTTATTTATGTGTTATTGTTTTTTTTAGCATTCTGTTTATTTTATTAGTCTCTTCAGACTGTGAACTTTCTCTACTATGTTAGTTTATGAATGTGGCTGTACGAGTTGTTACAAATTCTGTTGAAGAAAAAAAGGGGGCGATTCAAAAAGTATTAAAAAATATAATTTTAGTATAATGTCCATCATAATTAATTTCCCATGACTGAAGAAACAAACATTGCAATAGTTATGAACTCCTTAAATAAAATATAGTTACTCTACAATTAAATCCTCAAATGAAGTAAGTGCTTTGTGTTTTCAGTCTGTCTCAGAGGCATCAAAGCTCACAGGAAGTGCTACCTTACAATTGAGGAACCCAAACATTACCATGAAGCAAATGAAGACTGTATTGCACAAGGAGGAACTCTTGCAACACCACGGGACGTGATGGAAAACAATGAACTGAGAGACTATGCAAAGAGGAGTGCTCCGGGATCCAAGGACTTCTGGATCGGCGTGGCAGACATAGTGAAAGAAGGCCAGTATGTTGATGTCAACAGTCTGCCAGTCAGCTACTTCAACTGGGACCGCTCCAAGAAGCAGCCCACAGGAACGAAGAGGGAGAGCTGTGTTGCTCTTTCAGTGGTTGCACAAGGAAAGTGGTACGATGAGGTGTGTCGCAGCCTCAAAAAGTACATCTGTGAATATGTCATTCCCTAAAGGAGACACAGTGGTTGTTGACAATTTGATGCTTGTCAATTAAAATTGTGCAAAAATGTGTTGTCAAATTAATTCATGATGGAAACATGACTTGGTATTGAGCATGTATTATGAAATTCCTCATATTAAAATGTGTCTCTGTGATTATTAATTAATTAGCTTTGATATAGACAGTAGTAGATAATCAGACTACTAAGTCCCAAAGCTTTAGGTGATGACTGAACAGCACAAGAAGTAATACATTCTGGATTAAGTTACATATAAATAAACACAAACTATTTCATTTTAGACACACACTGTTTTGATTATTTTTTTGCATTTAGGTTGCTTGTTTCTTAAAGCGGCATTCATAAACACCAGAGAATTCCCCAGTTCACTACTCAGCTGCTGACCACTCTACAGCTTAATCTGAGCAAATGTGAGTCTGGTGATTTCCTCAAGGGTAGCATGGAAGTAATAGGAAGTGTTTTTAATTCCCTTGCCTGCTGGTTGTTCTAATGAGCCTCATTATATAACCAATCTAATGCAGCTCAGAGTAAAAGTATTACATTTAATTTTGGGAGCAATGTACTGGACAGTTAGAAAATAAAGATATCACCTGTAAGAGACCCTTGCTGTACGTTCAACTGTCAGATTTATTGGCTAAAAAATGAAGCATATGCAGTGATGAATAGTCAGTAATGATCAGACATTCAGCTTCAACCTGACTTTGGGGCCTGAGGAGCATAATGAGGCTTGGATGAAACTAGAGGTGGAGGCCCTTATCTAAAAATGTACATACATTTCATTATAAATAATTAGAGCAAAACAAATTATGCAAAAGCTGAAGGGATGAACAAACATTTTCACTACACATATCATTTTATTGTATCTGTATGCAACAGAAAATGAACTGGGAGGGTCTTATTGGTATCTTTAGTACCTCCTAAAGAATGTATCACTATCAATATATTTACATGTATAACATGTTGGGTAAATATGCATTCCAGTACATTGCATGACCTCTCCTGTTCTTATTTCCCTACCCCAAAGAATGTCTAGTGCAGAAGATTTATCTTCCTTGCTGGCATTGATATCCACCTGTTTGGTGTCAACAAACAATGAGGAAATTACTTATACCATGCTTGTTTCCTTATTCTGTTACTCTCTGGATACTTTGATCATCTTATTTTGGTGCAGTGAACCCCTTCTCACCCCAATCCACATCTGTGTCTCCAGACTCAGCTGCAGTCGTAACACTAAAAAACACTCTTACATGAAAAAATACGTGCAATCCAGAGTCAGTCCACCTGACTTGTCTTTGGAATGTGGAAGGAATCCCGGATCACCAAAAATAAACTTGAGCAAACACTAAAAGAACATGCAAACATTCAGAAAGGGACTGTTATCAAACCTTTACCCTTCGCCCTGTGAGCTGACAAAAATGTGAAGTATGAATTTCTAACTGCTCTGAACTGATGCTGCTACACTGCAGTATAAAGTGTACAAATGTCCAATGATTTAAAGAATCTTACTGTGTCTCACTTTATACTCTAAATTTAACAATCAATTAAAAGCCAAGTTACTTTAGTAACTTTATGTCCCATGTATACACTTACCACTCATTGTCACCCATTGCTCCTGGTGGACTTATATGCTAATTCTTAGCAGTGAATCCATTGAGCTGATTCAGAAACAGAAATTAATTTATATGACACATTGAGGAATCTGTGTGACTTAAGGTGTTAAGATACCCACCATGAAACACAACATCCAGAGTGCAGCCAGGGACCTTTCTTAAGTGTCTCTCTCTCTCATTTTATTTATCTTGTCCTAAAATGCCCCAAAATATACTTTAAAAAAATTATAAATGTGTCTGTGGTATGGCCACAGCCAGAATAAACCTACAGGACCCGGGTATAAATTAGCAACTTCTTAACCACTCATTTCTCCCCCTGTCTGTGAAATTGTTTACAATATTCCTATGATGGCCACAGACTGCAGTGTGGGAGTTTGATTCCATATAATACATATATACTCCATGCACTATATAAATGGAAATAAAGCTTGTAAAACAAAATTTTAACACAAGGCCTCAAGATCAGGTAATAAAGTGGAACCCACCTGACATTATAATGATATAATGACAATTTGATATTGTGCTTTAGTGTTGAATATTTCCATATTTCCAAGTTATCAATAAAACTAGGGCTTTAGGCGGCCTCTATGCATTTGATAGCAGTGTCTGTAGTGTATGTGAGTTTTCTATCATCCCTTCCGCAGGTTCTGTGTATGCAAGGATTATTATAGGATAGGGTCGGGACCCTGTCATCATTAGTTAATATTTCTAAATGTTTAAAACTAGGGCTGAACGATTTGGGAAAATAATCTAATTGCGAACCCCCCCCCCCCTCTTTTTTTCCTCTTTTTTTACAAAACATAAGAATGATTTTAAATATGACCAACACAATATTAGATACATTTAGTGTAAAAATGTTCTTTCCCATAGGCTGGGCCTTTTTGTTACAATTAAATTAAAAGATGTATAACTTGAAATAAATGACATTTTTTTATTTAACTGCTAAAACTGAAAATGTGCTCATCCGGGTGAACTTCTGTTAGTATTGACCATGAAACCATGTTGTGCACTTGACTCAATCAATCTTGAATCGGATTGAAAACAGCTCATTGCTCAAATTGAAAGCGTTGCCAAACTGACCCACAACTGACCTGCATCGCATCTCTCGCACAAGCTAAAATAATGCCGTGTTTTTGTGTTTTTATGATGTAGTGTGTGTGTGTGTGTGTGTCGTGTCTGTGTCCGTCGCTGGCTTTTAACAACACACACACACACACACACACACAAACACCACACACCTACGTCACCCTGTCCGCACACATCACCACGCACGCTCGTCTGGATGGAATGTGACGCCAGAGCTCCCCGAGTGAAGTCTCGCGGAGTAAAACACCGGCCATCTTTCTCCGTTTAGACATCAGGACACTTTGTGCTGCGGGTTAGTGTAACCGAGAGTGTTGCGATCACATTGATAAAGCCTGCTACAAGTTTTTTTTCCGTCAAGTTTAATGTAGTTATCCAAGCATCCAAAACTCACAACAAACAGGACACACACCATGTTAGTGCTCACCGCCGCAGGGTTTTGTCGCTGACATCCTCGTCCGGATAGATGTTTGTGTGAAGCGGTCGCACAAATGGAAATGGTGCCTAGCGAGGAGAACCAGTTCGTGCCCAAAGAGGTGAGCTCATCGCGGACCCAGCCCAGGTCGGGGCCGTCAGCTGCCACCCCTCCGCCGACCGTGTTTATTAACAATGGCGCAAACTTTTGCAGCACTTTGTGAGTTTGCTTTGGTTTGTCGTCCGGAGGCTAACTCTCGGCTGCTAACTGTTAGCGTGGACGGCCTGTGTGTGACTGGGTTAGCTCAGTCAGCGGCTCGGTTTCTCTGTTTGTCTCACGCAGCGTGAGTTTATGTAACGTTAGGTTGGTGCATCTTTAGACACACGCTATCTGTTAAGTTGTCTGGCGTTTGAATGTGGCTCTGTGGTCGTCAGCAGTCACGGAGCTTTTCAAATGTTTGTCGCTTGTGAACATTAGTTAGCTAGCGTTAAGTTGGGGGGGGGGGGGGGGGGGGGGGGGGGTAACATTAGCTAGTGGCTAGCTGATGTTAGCCTTTTAATTCTGCAACAACTCTGTTCAATAAAGCAAACAAATGGCTTTATGACACCAATGGACCTCACTGGCAGTGCTGAAGCGACGTTTACCACGAATCTACTTGTGTAAATGTGCACACTTTGACTCTTTCTCGCTCTCGTCTGCAGCTTGTTTTGAATGTTTCTTGTTGCGTTACTGCAAACCTTCAGGTTATCTAGTCCCAAGATACCGGATTGATTTGACTAGCTCAGATTGCTGTCGGTGCTCGTGAAGATGCAGATGTTAGTGTTAATATATTAGGTCATTGTGTGTCCGTATTGTTAGAATAAACATGTTCGCCCCTCCTGGACGATGATGATGTAGATATTTATGTGGTTAGCTACCTTTTTAACGTGAAATATCCTTCCTCAGACAATAATCTAACTCCTCTACGATGTTACTTTGTTGTCAAGCACGGCAGTCGTGTTCGTGTGTTCATTTCTACTACATTTGTGTATTTGTTGACTTGCTACAAGTTGTTTTTTTGTTTGTTTGTTTGTAATAACACTTTGGCTGCATTGACGTCAGCTGCAGTCATACATCGAGCATACGACGTCACTGGGCGATATTGATTAATTTAATTTATTAAGGCTGGTGGGAAAATTGGATTTAATGATGCACCGCTGCACACGTTTTGAATACAGTTCGTTTTAATAGCTACACAGTTGATTCGTGGGTTTTTAATGGGTCTTATCACACCCTGCTGGACAGAGACTGTGAGGAGGAAATAGATTTGTATTGTTTACTTGTCATTTTGGCAGCAAAGAAGGAATTTCTTAGCCTTCAGCTCTTTAAAAATCACATTTGACTGGTTAAAAAAAAGANNTTGTGTCCTTAATAAAGCCATTATTATTAGTATCATGATTATTATTATGGGCAATGGTTGGTTGAATTACATAATTTCGTTCTTTTCCACTTTAGATCATTTTAAGTATCTATATTTCATATTGTGGTATGCAAATATAGATATACAATTTATTTTTTTTAATCAGAAAGAAATACTTTTAAACCATTGAAACATTACAACAAATATAAACAACCTTTTACATCTCTGCATACATTGAACCGTCTCACACATTGGCCGTACCGTTGCAGTAAGGAAACTCCCTGTGCTGTTTGAAGTAGATGTAAAAGCCTGTGGTTGCAGCTTTGCATGCGGTTAATCGTTTTATTTCCCAACAAAATCACAAGATCAGCTGACCATTAAAATACATGTCAGACTGTCCTGTAGGTCCTTGTAGGACAGGAACATAAAACCAACCCCCTCCAGTACATTAAGCTGTGTTGCTGAAATCATTGGCGCGGTTACGAATGATTGACAAATGTTGTGGAAAAAGACACGAGCTCAAGAGTCGGTAGGATAGTGTCGGTAACTTAAGCTGGCGTTTGGTGTTGAGCGCTGATGGCAGCGGGCCGGTGTTGCGGTGCCCTGGGATAGCAGAAGTCTCTGAGTGCTCTCTGTTGATGCCCTGGGCCCAATTAAATGAACATCTGAGAGGAGAGACACCCAGCTAGTAACCGCAGTCTCATAACCACATGTGCAAACATTTAAGATGGGTGGCTACAGACTTTGTAGTGGTT